TTTACGCGTTCATCACAAAGCCCAGATTGAACAGGTGCTGTGTGAGAATATGCGTGTGCGCCTTGTCTTCCTGCTCCGATTGCGCCAGACACAGCCAATCGTTGAGGTATGTGGCCAGGCGGATGCCCCGCCTCCTCAGCGGGGCTATCGCCGCCTCCGTGCACTGGACAAACACTCTCGGGCTCAGGGAGAGGCCAAAGGGGAGCATGCGGTACTTGTAACAGACCCCCTGGAAAGCAAATCTCAGATACTTTCTGTGGGGGGGATAAATTGGAATGTGGAAATACGCGTCCTTCAGATCGACAGATGTGAACCAGTCGCCCTGACGCACAAGATGCAGCAGAGATGCGTGTGTGAGCATCCTGAAATTGTATTTCCTGAGATATTGCTCAGAGCCTGCAGATCCAGGATAGGGCGAATTCCGGTTCCCCCCCATTTGGGGACCAGAAAATACCTGGAGTAAAAACTGCTCTGATTCTGTGCAGGAGGCACTATACATATCGATTGCTTGTTTAACAGTGAGTGAATTTCCTCCTGTAAAACGCGAGCTGACTCTCGCTGAGCCTGGGAATTAATTATGCCGGCGAATCGCGGGGAAGGGTGGCAAATTGGAGCTTGTAACCCCCGGAGATCATCCTCAGCACCCAGGGTGAAGCTGGAAGAGCGCTCTAACTCTCCCATCTGAGGGAGAAATTGGACACACACTCCAGCTCCCTCACCAGCGAGAGTGGGGCCATCCACGGTGCGGTGGCGCCCTTTTGTGGCGGGGCTGGGACAGCCCACCCGAGCGGCGCTGTGCCTTTCAGCCTGGGCTGACAGCTCAGCGGCGGGGCTGCCTCGGTTTCCACTCCTGTGAGAGCTATGGCAGCTTTTCGCCGGAGCGGGACAGCAGGCGTCGCCGCCACACTGCTTATATTCATTTTTATATTTTTTATTCTTTTGGCTTTTGTATGCTGCGCCCTCGGCCCTTGGCCTGGATGCGACAGCAGGACACATTTTCGTCGCTGCACAAGAGGAGGAGGAGGAGAAGGAGCTGGGGGCTTACGAGGGAGGCAGAGCTGGAGAGCTTCATCCTCTTTCTTCTTTGCCTCACACCGCTTCTGCATAGATGCCAGTGCGGAGTCGGAGAGTCCCTCCGGGACTATGGGCATGTCCAGGATGTCATTCTTCTCCCTATCTGACAGGTTAGCGAGGCCTAGCCACCGTGCTCGCTCCTGCAGAACCATATTTCCCAGCGCTCTCCCTGTGGCCTGGACCGCGCAGCGCTGGACACGGAGACACAGGTCAGTGATGACCGGTATTTCCTCCTATGCAGCTGGGTCCTGAGACTGCGCAAAATTTCTTCCCTTCATAGCGGGATCTGGTGGTCTCCGTTATGACGACAGGCCAGGGGATGCCCAGCCAGGCAGCAGCGCGTTTGCACACGTCAAGCATGTCCGAGCTGGGAAGAGGAGAGGCTGGTGTGCTTCTCCCACTTTCCTCCTGAGAGGCGGCGGGGGCCGCAGGCTGCGCAGCCCGGGCTGGGGTGATGAAAAAGTCGTCCTCTCCTTCATCCTCTGATATGAGGAGGTCCAAGGTGCCCTCTTCATCACCCTCCCCGTAGTCCAATTCCAGGACGTCTTTCTCGGGCGGGACGGCCGAGGCCAGTTTGGTCTGGGAGCCCCAGCTGACACTGGCCTCCGGCGCCGCCGCGGCACCATCCTTCTCCTCCTCACCTAAGGGTCGTGCCCGGAGAGGCTAGCTTGGCGAGCCAAGCTAGCCTCGGAGACGGAGGCTCTTGAGTGTAAACACCGAGCAGTGCTGACACGAGCCGGGAACATTGATCACCAAGCGGGCATGTTCCAGCCCTAGGCAGCACGAGCAGACCTGGTGTGTATCCCTGCTCGAAATCTTGTTCCCACAGCGGCAGTGACGGGGCCCAGAGTCTCCGTATCCTCTGGTGTGAGGAGTTTTGTCCTCCATCCCTCACGAGCGGGTGCGCAGGGAGGGAAACGAGGTGGTTCGCTGGTGTGCTAACAGAAGCCGAGAGACTAGCTGGTGTGCTAATTCCCCAGGAAGTGAACACTGTGGTGGGGTGTCGAGCTAGAGCGTTAGCCTAGCCGGAAGGCAAGGAAACGCAGTACACTCCGATCTGGTGTGACCAGTGAGCAACGAAAATTCCCTGAGCTAACAAGCGACCCAGCGACGGAAGCTAAATAAGATCCGTCTGTGGACAGTTAAGCTAGCCAGCTCAGGACGAGAGATATGCTCCGAGTGAGAAGAGGCGTTTGAATGAAGTGGTGACGTCCGCAGGGGGTATTTATGGCAGGTGGGACTACCTGACGTGGACGAACACGTTCACCAGCCAATCAGGATTGGCGTAATGAGATAAGTGCTTCTGAGGGCCGCAGCAGGGGTTATGAAAGAGAACCATAAATGTTGGATCTTTGGTTGTCTATTAATTTATTGGCTATCATAAACTAAAAATATTAAATAATAACTTTAAAATGAATTAAAGTCCTCAGGGGGACCAGCCTAAACTAATAGGCAATATTGTTGTACTGTTTCAGTCTCAAATTATTACTATTAATCTGGAACTCTGATTAATAATTACCTTAATAACCAAATAACCATATCAACAGTAAGTTGAAGGATTGGAATTCTAAGTAGATGTTGGCAATATTCACACTTGTGCAACACTAAACACACCAGTAGTTATACTGGCTCATGTAATCTAAAGGTACCAGGTTAGAGGGAGGAGGTTAGCTTCATGCAGGTTCTAGAACTGAGACGTACTACAGGTATGTGTGTTTGAACATACAAGTACTCCGTTAACTGTATGACTAACCACCACCTAAGCAAACATTACAACAAAACATTAATCAACAGGTACATTAACAAAGTTAAGACTTCTGCTGCTTAGCTATGCTGTGCTAGGAGAAGTTAGGCCCAATTACTTAACGGTAACCAGTCCTTGGAACAAAACGAAGAGGTCCTTTCCAGTGTTAAGTCCCGTGAGTTGGGTGGCTTCCTGGTGGAGTAAAGTCCTGTCTGGCTATCTCCTTTGTTACAGAGTTAGCTGTTCCACGTTAGCTGACTGGTCAGTGAAATCCCCGGGGGAGGGTCATCCCCATGTGTGAACAGTGAGGAACTTTGGGGAAGTGAATTCCTTTGTCTGCGGAGCAAAGAAACATCTGGTCTCTTGAATGAGTCCCAACATTGTAGATAACCTGAAAGATAGAGAGATAGTATTGTGTGACTGTGGAAAAAATTAGGACTTGGATCTCCACTCTGAACACTTCCACCACTCTGTCTGGCCTATTATGGCCTCTATTATCATACTAAAAAGGTATACATGCATCCACATGCCTGTTGCATTGTTCAGGGACAGGTGAGAATGGTCTGCAGTGTGGGTATGAACAAAGCAACAAGCACCCCCCATCCCAGAACATTCAGAACCTGTTTCCAGTCTTGAAATGCAACAAGCTGCTTTGGGCAAAAAAAAAAAAAAAAAGCCCAGGATCAGTAAAAAGTTGACTGATTAGATACAAGTTTAGTTTTCAATGTTGCTATATATAGTTTCAAATACCAAAAACTTTTAATTACTTAATTACTTTATTAAATTCTGGTCTAAACCAGAAAAAAATAACAAAACCCATACAGAACTTAGTTACAGTAAATCAATGCATATATTGTATTTCTAAAGGTATTTTTTTCCCACAAGTGAGAAGTTCAATGTGTCCATGCAATGTGTCAGGTGCACAGGCCATTGTAACTAAGCACAAAGACCCAGTGTTGTAAAATTGCAATATACACACAAGCTCAAAATCAATTTTGATGATTTCCATCTACATGTTCTAGACATTGTAATAAACACAAATAACAATATTTCAGGTAATTTACTTACTTGAATCTTGACAAATCCAGTCCAGTGAAACAAGGAGATGAGCTCTGTGTAAAGTTCACAGGTAATGCGAATTTATGGGCTGATGACTGGTCCTATTAACACCTACTCTATCTGATAGCATTGTGAGGATAAACAATAACCCATTGACTATGAAAAAGTGTTTTTTTTTGTTTGTTTTTTTTTAGAAAAAAAACATTCAGATCTTTTTTTTGGATGGTTAAATGTGACATATTACAACAGTTGGCCTTACAGGGTTGATTGTGACACAACATGTGTTATGTCATAAATTAATGAAATTTGACTTCTTTTGCTCTGCTTGCCTACCGGATGTGTACAAAAAGCAGCTGTACTGACAGCAGGTGTAATATGTTGTAGCTTGTTCATTCATTTCATTACACAAGTGTAAGATCATCAGGACAATCATAAACTGCCATAAACGATCATGTCTTTAAAGTAAATCTACTTCTTGCTCTCCTGCCTGGCAAGCACGTTGTTGAGCCCTGTCTCTGGGGCAGATGACAGAATCTGACATGTACGCATGGACTGGCTTGTCTGTGGCCCCTACACTGTAGCCATTAAAATTAAACACGGATGGCACTTTGTCTGGCTTCAGCCGATTTGTGGTGAAACAAACAAATCTTTCACACTCAAAGCCTTCGTCCTCCACATAATCAGAACTGACAAAGTGGTCACCGCAGACTCGTTGTCCCGGTCCCAACGGCAGACTGCGGCATTTCAGTGTCATGGTCTGATATGGCAGACACCTTTTGTTAGTTTTGTTTAGAACTATATGCACTTCTTGTTTTATTTTGTAATTAGGTTCCTAGTGTGTGTCAGTGTTTTTGCTTCCTGTCTTGGTCCTGTGTCTGTGTGGTAATTGTCTGCCCCGCCCTAATGTGTTTCACCTGTGTTCAATCACCCTTGCCTCCCTTGTCTATATAGTCTTTGTGCTTCCCTTTGTCATTGTTGGTTCGTCTGTTGTCTTCACGTTTGTTCATGTCACGTTCACGTTTAGATTTTGGTTAAATAAACCTGCCTTTACCGTCTCCCGTGTGTTGGCTGCATTTGGGTCCGACTTATCGCTAAAACCCTTGACAGAACGAACCAACCAGAAATGGACCCAGCGGTCTACGCCAGCCTCATGGCCTTTTTGAGGGTGCATCCATCCTGTCAGCAAGCGCCCTCGTCAGTCATCAGGTCTCCGTTCACGCTGGCTGACCCCTTCTCAGACTCGGACCTGGAGGACCCTGAAAAGTCCCCTTTCTGGGGAACTCGCCTGGCAATTTTCAGGGGATCTCGTGGAGGCCAAAGAAGGCGAGGTAATCATGGCTCCCGTTGCCATGGGGAGGCTCGGCCTCGGCCCCAGCCCCAGGTTCCTCGCTTCCAGCCCAAGCCATGGTCTAGGGTCCCCAGCTTCCAGCCGGTCCAGCAGAATCCTGTCCCTCCTGTCCTGTCGGCAGTCCAGCTGACTCCTGACTCTGGTTCCAAGTCAGTGGTCCAGCCGATCCCTACTCCTCGTTCCCTGCCGGCGGTCCGGCAGAATCCTGTCCCTCCTGTCCAGTCGGCGGTCCAGCTGACTCCTGACTCTGGTTCCAAGTCAGTGGTCCAGCCGATCCCTACTCCTCGTTCCCTGCCGGCGGTCCGGCAGAATCCTGTCCCTCCTGTCCAGTCGGCGGTCCAGCTGCCTCCTGACTCTGGTTCCTGGTCAGCGGTCCGGCCGATCCCTGCTCCTCGTTTCCTGTCGGCGGCCGCTGCTCTGTGTTCTCCAGTGGTATTGACGACTGTTCCTGACCCTCTTGTGGTGTCGGCGGCCGCTGCTCCGTGTTCCCCGGCGGCGTCAATGACTGTTCCCGTCTTTCCTGTGTTGTCGGCGCCCGCTGCTCCGTGTTCTCCAGCGGCGTCGATGACGGCTACTGACGTGACGTCACCGCCTCTCCTGGTTCCTGATGTGACGTCACCACCTCTCCGGGCTCCAGCAGTGACGTCCCCTCCACTCGTGGTTCCTGCCAGGGCGCCACCCCCATTGATTCTTGACCTGACTCAGCCCACGTGGCTCTTGGTGTCATTGACTCCTGGCCGCCGTATAGATTTTATTCACATCAAGTAAATTAATGTTAGTTTTTTTTACTTGAGCCATGGTGATTCCATGGTGGAAAAAGAATCCAGTCCCTTTACCTTTACTTACTAAACTCGTCATAGTCCTGTGTAATTTCTTCACCTTCTTTGTAGACAACTTAGCCTCCTTTGCAGCGCAAAAAATATTACATCAAAAGTGATACATAATTTACACATAATTTGATCGTTCATTAGTAATCAATAATTGCAAGATTGGCAATCAATGTTACATTACTAACCTGAGGAAAGGCTACTGTTGTCATTATCAATGCGCTCCACATTGTCAAGGCTGGGATCAATCATTTCTCACCCCATTGCTGGAGCCACACTCAAAAACGGTGCATCAATAATGAGCTAATAGACACATGAATTTCCCTTAAAGTATGTATAGTATGGGATAAATAAAGTATGTATCTATCATTCTATCTGTCGTTCTGTCATATTCCATGCCTCGTCACTGAATTTGACATGTTCCCTCCTTTACATGCAACTTTCTAAATGTAAGTCCTGGTGTTGGAATCATTGAGTGAAATACAGCCACATTTAGATCAGTTAGCTTTGGCGTTTTCATTGTGTCTGTAGGCAGACTACCTACCTCAGAGCAAGTGTAATGTTAACTAGCAATAGCACATGGTGCTTCTGTTGTCTGTGACATCTGATTCAGAGGTGAAATATTTCAAATATTTACATCTCAGGAATTTAAGAGGCAATGAAGTGAGGCACTTTTGCAATGGGTTTTGGTACCCAACCTAAAGTAATGGTGAAGATGCTGTAGAGTGTAACATAAATCAGTGGCCCAATTCTTCTGTGTGACATCTGACCCCAGCGCATCCTTCCTGTTGCATCAAGGTACTGATTTTAAATTCACAGCAAAATTTAATGTTATATGAGCGTGGCTGTATTACTGAACTGGCATATCGGGTACAGGCACAGGGGGTCAGGGGGCCAAAGAGAGATGAAGAGAAACAGAGACAGGTTTGGTCTGTATATTAAATTTTATTGTGATTGAGTTGTTTTTGAAAATTTTTGATTATGACTGGATTTTTGCATCTCTGTCCCTCAAATTGACAGATGATGAGAAACTCTAACACAACCTCTGATTTATAGAGTTATCTGCATCATTGTTCATTGTTTAAAGGAGGGGCCCAGCACCGTGGCTACAAGGGCACTTTAGAGACCTGTCTGAACTGGTACCTGGCAACCCTGCAACTAGCATGATAATCTATATTCACAAACTACTGAGGATCAATACCCAGCTCTACTACAGAATTTGTCTTGAAGTGAAGTGGATCAACATCCAAACAGACTGGTGCCAGTTACCATCCTGCTCCTGAATGCAGCTTTCAGCTCCAACAGACACAACAGAGTGTTGTGGATATTGGATGTCCTCACTGCTCTAATTGTGGCAGACAGGGCTGAGATCACTGGACTCTTAATCTGCTCCTGCATGTTGCGAGTGCTCTAATCTCACAGTGCTGGATTACGCACAGCAAACACACACACATACAAGGAAGTCTCCTTCTTTGCTGTTTTTGGGGGTCACTACTTGGGTTAATGGACTGTTGGAGAGAGATTTGAGAATTGAGGCAGCAGGTTATTTGCCACCATTCTCTTGCTTTAAAACTGTTCACATCAGGCTGATGATTTATTTTTAACAAACAATTTGAACTCCTCAAGGGTGAACTGTCTATTTCTTTGTTCTTCAGCAGAATGAGTAAAATGCAGTGTAATGGCTTTGGACCACTGAACTCCTTTAGTGCAGTGATCTGTCACACTATGTCCTGTGTCAGGATATGAACTCACACAACTAGAAACACTGTCACAATTAAGTGACATTATCTTATCAGAGGCTTCTCTGTTTTAAACTATGACTGGATGGATGAATATTTAAGGTTCATATGTTGTCTTTCTGAGAATGATCCCTCATATCTTTGTGATTTGTACAGGAATCATTGCATGGTTAGCAAAGCTTAACATTTAGACTGGAAACAGGCCCAACAGCTGGTCTGGCTCAGTCCAAAAACTACAAATCTAAAAATACACAGTGTATTTTTTCAATGTTGTTTTTTTTTTTTCTAATTTAATGGAAAAAAGTATTTATCAATCAGCAGATGTCATTTTCCCATTAGTGAGGCCTAACAGGTTTAGAGCAGCTTATGTTAAAACTCATTTGGCAGAAAATAACTCGTATATGTGGATGTTTGTCCTGTGTGACTGATAGTAGCTTTAATGTCTACTGACAGTAGGTGTGTGAAATAGAAATGTGTTTCACTCCCACTGCTCAAACTGTATTATCAGAAATGTTCTGAAATAATTTGTCTGGTTTCAGATTCAGATGCGCACACATCCCAGCTGTCACCCTTTTCTACCTGTTCATTATTTCAGATCTTTCAGTTGAGAAAATACCAAAAATGTAAAAAACCTACAAGCACATGAGGAAATCCTTTTAGATCTACAACAAATATGAGTAATATATAACAGCAATGATTTTCCTTCACCAGTTTTCATACTGAAACATTTCCTCATATTTCACACATTTGATATCAAATCCTGATGTGTTTTATTTACCAAAAATCCAGTGACAAAGTAAAATGTTGCTAATGTCTCATCATTGATGGTTGTCATTTTCCTTTTCTTTTACAGATAACTGCAACAGTCCACTTGTGTTCCCTTTACCACAGTCTTCCTTCCAGAGCTCTTCACAGTCCTCCATCAGTTATGCTGCTCACAACGCCAAGCTCAACAGGAGAGATGGTGGGTAGGATAGATGTGTAGACATGACACAGACATACACCACTCACCTGCTGTATCACACTGGTCCCTCTACTCGGCTCCAAACATCTCACAGACCTTTTTCTGTCTGTTTTGAAGTGTGTCCCAGTCAGGCTTTTTTGGCCCCAATCTTGAATCTTTTCCAGTCCAGTCCATCTTGTCCTGTTAGTTCTGTACATCACCACAGCTGCTGCAGTACTGATCCAAAACCAATTTCCCGTGATCAGGCTAGCCGAGAGCCTCTTGATCCAGACATGAGCTTCCTGAAGAAGATTTTGAAAAGGAACAACAAGAAGTTTCCATACTGTCAGTGGTTATTAGCTGGAAAGCTTAAAGTTGGAAACCACCATACTGTTGGATGAAAAAACACACAACTGCTGAGAAAGCACCTCAGCAAAAGAACCACAGACATACCTTTCATAATGGTTTCAACCCACTCACCAAGTATGTAAGTGGTTGTTGCTTTAAAAGACACTGTCTTACTGCTGCTGCATGGAAATCCACTGACAGGTCTGTTGGCAGATAAAGTCCTGAAAAGTGCTCAGCAGGGGTGTCTTAGTGGTTCACCTGGTAGAGCCCATACCACATAGGTTTAGTCCTAACCGCAGCAGCCATGGGCTTGAGTCAGACCCACGGCCCTTTGCTGCATGTCATGTCTCTCTCCCTGACCTTCCTGTCTCTCACTGTCCCTGTCAGAATAAATAAATGCCAAAAACTATAATTTAAAAAAAGAAAAGTGCTCAGCAACTGGACATTCATGTTACGTGACATCAATCCCTATGTGAAGACGAAGTCCCTCTCCTCATCAGAGAGCTCCAGTGAGGAGCTCTGCAGGAGGTCAATTTGAGTCTGACCTTGTGAATTAGCTGTGTCACCTGCAAGCGCGCTCCCTATTTTTATGGAGACTTTGTGTGGTTAAATGACCCAACAACTTCAAAACAAAAACTCACTACGCACTGGAAAAGCCTTAGATCTGAGATTGAACAAAACTGACAACCATTTCAGACCTTACAATACTCCTGTGCTGGATTGTGGACATAGTATACCTGTTTGGGACTCAAGTTTGCAGCCTTAACTCCCTTGCTTGACAGCATAGTGCTTTGCCATGACCCACTATGTTTATCAGGAAAATTATCCATATTACAAAATAAAAACATTTGGGATTGCCAATCATTGGACACTTTTTAAAAAGAGAATGAGATTGTGAAGTTTTTGTCTTCCAATAGATCTGGACTCACAAATCAGAACACAATTGTAGAGGTGAAAACACATAAAGTTATTAATTTGAAAACTAGCAGTTGAGTTGTGGGGGTTTGGTTGGAGATGGCAACAAGAGGAAAAGCAGCTGGCAGACTGATAGCAGATGGCGGTGAGGGGGCAAACTGTTGGTGCTGGTTGAATATGGTGGAGGAGAGCTGACTGGCAGGAAACCACATAGTGTGGCACATGACGAAGATCACACATGACGGTGCAGGAAATGGAACTGCTCACAAGACTCCACTTTACAGGGCAGACGAACAACGTTCCAAAACAGGTGAACGGAGAGACAGAGCTGAGCGTGGCAGGCAGTGAGATAACAGGGAACTGGGTCTGAAGCACAAGGAGGAAACAGGTTACAAAAAATCCAAAAAACATGAACGAGGAGACGGGATTTACAGGAGATGGCGGAAGCATGACACCACTAGATGTGACAGAACGATCTGGCAGAGAATGGTGAGATGAACTGGTCTTGATGGAAGATGCTGGACCGGTGAGCATGGGAACTGGCAGGAACTAGGAAGCCATGGACGGACGGACGGACGGACGGACAGACAGACAGACAGACTAACTATTGGGTGGACCGTGGACCGTGTCCCGGATCAGGTTGATTTTATTGAGCTTACCTGACAACTGACTCAATCTCCAAGGATACTGCGGCCACCATGCACTCTGGGGGGAGAATTGTGTCATGGGAGTTTGGGCCCCTCGGTATAATGCTGGGGGCTTGATGTTTCTTGACCCGGGACAATAGGTGAGGGTGAAATTGATACATCTGAGAAACAGGGCCCAGCGAGCTTGTCTGGAGTTAAGGCGTCTGGCTGACTTGTAGTCAGTCCAAACCACAAATGATGGCTATGCGCCTGCCAACAGCTCCCGCCATTCCTCCAATACGAGTTTGACTGCCATCAATTCACAGTTACTAACATCAAAATCTACTGAGGAAAGATGATGAGAGAAGAAAACACGTGGGTACAACTTCTGATCAGAACCAACATGAAAAAGAACTGCTCCTAACTCAGTGTCGGATGCATCTACTTCCATCACACACTGCATTTGTTGCATAATGGTGGTTAATACTTTAAACAACAAGTGTCTTGCAATAAGGACATGAATGACATCGCAGAATTATTGTATACTGGTCTTTGGATGTTAAATCCTCTGTGTTCATTTGTATTCAAAACATCCCTGCCTCTCTCACTTCAACAACCCCATTGTGGATCTTGATTTTGTAATCATGGCTGAATTAGCAATGGTCTCATGTTCTGCCCACACACATGCCTTTATCTTTTTTATTTTGTTCTCTTCTCTGTGAGAGCAGTCTGAGCTTCAGCATCACAGTCCTGCTGTACCTCATAATACCTCATGCTATTGGCCTACTGAACAAAGTAATCTGCTGCTCTCTTTACACCCTCATCCGGGCACACTTCCTGAGCTTATTGGTCTTGGACTTTGCCTCAGATGGCAGGTTTTATGACTTTGCACAGCTTCTAAATACTCTCCTTAAGGCCTAGTCTTTGCTGCACCAGTGGATTTAACCAACTACATCAAGCCGTCTGTGCCTCCTGTAGCGTTAACGCCATATTTTAGAATTTACTCTCGTTGAAATGGGGCACCAGTCCTCTGGGAGGACAACAATGAATTACTTCATTGCCAAATTTATCAATCTCATATCGGAAGCCATGACTTCTTGATTCAATGGATCTCCACTCTCTACGTCAAAAGGATACAACAGGACAACAACTGGGTGTAAATAAAAGAGTTTATTAACTAAACTACTATCTACAGAGTAAATGCAAGGTGTAATAATCATAAAGATTAAGATAATAATGAAATGAGCAGTGTGATGAGTTGGCAATGGTGGGAGAGGATATGTTATGGCTATACACTATGGCTATACAGCTAATGACACTACATCTACGAATTAGGTTTGATGATTAAATATTGCTATATTTCGACATCAACCCAGTCATGAGCAGAGTGTTAAGACCGGCCTACTGTGAGTTGCGCTGTAGCTGGAGACACTTGGCTGGAACCCAGGTGGCTGTGGTTGCTGTGGTAACCCGGAGACGCGGGATCTAGGTGGATTCTCCTGGAGGCCGCCGCCGCCGCCGCCGATTCTGCCGGTGTCTCAGTGGTTCAGCTCTGGTGGAGTTTGCCAGGAGACTTTCTGTCTCGGGCACTTTTGATTTCTGCTCGGCTTCTCTGCAGGCGGTCGTGCAGAGGTTATCTGCTGGTGTCTCTTGTGGGTTGATGCGAAATAAACTCTAATGCTCTTCACTTTGGTTGGATAACTTTAGAGGAGACTGGCGTTGACCAGATGACTCTAAAGTTGTCAAAATCTTCAAAAAGGAAAACTTGATGATGATTAAAAGTTACAAAAATGAGGCACTTCTGTTGCTTTGGTTCAGTTGGTCTTGACTTGGCTTATAAAAATAAAAGATCGCGCATGTAGATAAAAATCATGTTACTTGGAGCTTGTGGCAAAAAAAATTAAAAGATGCGAAAAGTGCAAAAATGACTAAGAGCCATAAGTTTGTGGCTAGCAGCTTTGAGCTAAGAGTTTACATGGCTACAGAGCCGGGCTTTGAGCCGGGACTCTGAGCTTTGAGCAAAGATCTCAACTTCTAGTTTCTGCATCGTTTGTCACTTCAGCTTTTCAGCCTCTAGCTTTTAGCTTCGTTTCTCGTGTCTTCTTGTCATTTGGGTTTCTCTTTCTTTTCTTTCTTCTCTTTTTCTGAATTTTCATGAACTGTTCTGAACTATGTGAATCGATCACGACTGTTTTATCCCCTGGGGGGCGGTTGCATGTTTCAGGGGCGTCCCCAATCTCCTGTGTTTCCACTTGGAGAAGAGAGTAATTTTCCACTGAACTTTGGAATAATTTAATTCTAGGTTTACTTATAAACTCGCACATCCGTCTTCCACCATGACCACAAAACATTAAGTGAAATAACATATAAAACTATTTGCGCTAATAATGGCAGAGAGGAGTAATAGGAGTGTTGATTGCATATTACATCCTTCAAATCTGGAATTAATCATGATACAAGTGGTTAACTGATCAAACAACAATATAAACATTTCCCAAAGCTAATAGTCTATACATGTGGATTGTCGGCAGTTCTTTGACTGTAATAATAATAATAAGATGGACATTCTGGATGTCATGTTGTGTGTGTTACCTCGGGTGAAGGATGCTGACAGTATGGTCACATGAAGGACATTGTCTTAAAATCTACATGTTACATTTCAAACATTCTATGGGATAGAAGTTTGGGATTAACCTATTGCATAGGAACATCTCAACAGCTAGATATTTAATTTTACATTCTTCCTTAGATCTGTGTCTGTGAAGAGAGTTCTGCTGGTCACTACCCAGGATTGGAATGTGGGTTGTAGTTTATGACTCTTATCTAGAGAGGGGCAGAGGAAGGGTGGTTGGTGTGTGTGTTCATGCATGGCACAGAAAGGCCAGGATTCACACCTTAGTGTTAATCAGTCCTTTTTGTTGTTACTTGTCCTATACAAGAAACAATCAAATATCAATAAACAAAGTCTTATTGTTACAAACTGGAGATTTTGCCTATATTCTCCAGTTGTCTGGTGTCCATTGGTTAATCCTCTGGAGCTGGCCCTTTGACCTTTGGTCTGGTTCTGTGTCGTTCGGACATGGTCTGTTTGTGGAAGAGGGGTCCTTTGTCTCTGTCTCCTATCAATCTGATAGTTCGATGGTGGGAAGAGTCACAAAGTGTCAATTGTGGGTCCGTAACTCTGCATGTCCTTATAATGAACTTCCTTAATGGCTTGTGACTGATGCCAGGCCACGTATGTATGCTACACTCCAGTCGTCACTGGTTTCCTCCCAAAGCTTCATGTGTTTGACACTGCATGTCATTCAGTGATGAGGAAAGTATTCACTTGCTACAACAACTCCTGTGGTATCAGTCAGCATGAGATTAAGTGTATTCTGTAGTGAAGCCCACATTCACAAATATCTATATCAGTTACACATTCCCTGACCTGCCTTCTCTGTCTGACCTGGTCTCATTGATATCATGGTTGCCATCTTCATCCTGTTTCCCTCCTTGTTGATCGTCTGCCCCGCCCAAATGTGTTGCACCTCTGTTCAATCACCCTTGCCACCCTTGTGCCTATTTAGTCTCTGTGCTCCCCTTTGTCTGGGTCAGTTTGTCTGTTTAAGTCCCCAGTGTTACCTGTTGAAGTTCCTTGTGTTACCTGTTCAAGTCCCCTGTGCTTCTACTTCTGTTTAACTCCCAAGTGTTACTTCGTGCTTGAACTTGTTGTTTAAGTCCTTTTGCTTCTGGTTCCTGTTGAAATCCCCTGTGTTCCTCGTGCCTCTGCTTCTGTTCTTGTCCCCTGTGTTACTCTCCATTTTGGATTTTTAGTTCTGTAAGTAAGTCACTTTTTGTTGATTTAAACATTTTTACAGTCACTCCCTTGTGTTGGCTGCAATTGGGTCCAGCCCTACCTTAAACTGTGACAGTTGAACTGACATTGATTGACGTTGTTGAACTGACCTTTCTTTCTGGGTCTTGCTTCTCACTTGTTCCTGTACTCTGTAATGGGCATTTTCCAGGCCTTCATACCTCGTTTTGACAAATACACTGTCAGTGACTGAAGGTTTTGTGAATGCCCACCTTAGCAGAGCACCTGAGCAGAGCAAGGAGTGAGTTACTTTGCTGTATGTCAGCCATTTTCTGTTGGGAATGACTCTGTGACTGGTTTGTTTTGGGTTTTCCTGAAAAAATTGCGCTTTTTCTGAGTTGTAAAATCTTTCTTCGTAACATACAGCCTTCATAACCCTTGACCTGTCACCTAGATGTCAAAAACAATGTTAAATGTGGTCATTTGTGCCATTTTAGGTCTATGTCCAGCTCATATACTAAAGGTGTGCTACAAAAATCTCATCGTAGCTGAAAAGTGGAACGGGTAGCAGTAGGAGCCAATTGCAGCACACAGACAAACTGGCTCAGAATTCAAAGGGCTTTATTGCCAAATGTAGTAAACACACCACAGAACAGGTCAGAAAGTATAGTTCAGTTCAAGGCAACAGTACTGTTCAGGGGCAGGCTAGAAACATAGTCAGGGACAGAATGCAGTTGGGTTTACCAGGACGGAGTCGGCAGGTCAGAGACAAACTGTTGACGACAGGAATACAGTCTGGAGAAGAATGCTGGAAAGTATTGCAGAGAAGGCAAAGAACAATCTGGCAAAGAGTGAGTGAACTGGAGGGGGTGATATATTGGTGAGATGAGTTGGCTGATGAGATGGCTGTGGCTGACAGGTAGAATGGAGCAGAGGAGGGGTGAGTGGAAAAGTACTGGGAGCTCAGGTGAACAAAGGAGCAGAACTATGACATAAAGACAATGTGATTTCTATAAACACAGACAGGAACGAGGCAGGACTTCATTCACAAACCAGGCTGCTTGTCCCAACATGTAATAGCATTTCACATTCCAATGTTTTGGTTTTCATTTCAGTGCACGTTAACGGGTTAGAGCAGACACACTGCCTGCCTCTCAAGCCTCGGTTGCGTTGCGTGATCTCGAGATTTGGCGTCTTGTTTATTTTTTACATGTGACGTGCGGCTCCCAGCAAAAATATTGATATGATATTGACATCATACCAGCAACACAAAACTGACACCTTCCATTATAGTTTCTATGTATAGGCTGAATCTAAACATTATACAGAGATGAAAAAATATAAACCAAATAAAAAAATATCATATATATATTAGAGTATAAAAATATTAACCATTTTTGTGTTATGTGGAGACAGTGAGATTTAGTGATGTTTACTGTCAAAAATAAATCATAAATTGAAGAGAAATCCACCATTCCAGTAACCTGCAAACTCTATGTAGAGAGAGAACAGCAGCAGCAGCTACGCAGCTGGTGACACACGTGTGCCATGCATACACGACGCAGGCAGTAAGGGCTCCACTATGTTAACCTCGCTTAGCTTCACCTCTGCACACATCTGTACCGCAGTGATTTTTGCAAACTAAACCCAGCAGCAGGGGGGACAGAAAGCCAGTGTAGAAAATCAATTTAATTTGTTTTTTTCAGGCTCTTCTCTAGTTTTTTTTTTTTTTCCCCTCCCAGGAGCAGGGGGCTGGTCTCCCATGGTAACAGACAAGAAACCCTGGCTCCAGGTGGACCTAAGGGAACAGAAGGAGGTGACAGCAGTGGCCACGCAGGGGCGCTACAACAGCTCAGACTGGGTCAGCAGATACTTACTGCTCCACAGTGACACAGGCCAGGCCTGGAAACGGTACAGACAGGATGACAGTGTCTGGGTGAGTCTGCAGTTTCAGTTTAACATTTCCGCTCTTCTAACTTTGGACTCTAGTTCAGTCTCATCTGGGCAGGTGTGCTCTCAGGTAGATCCAAGCACACTCCATCAGCTCTGATCACGTGATGTGACCAGCTGCAATGGCTGTCACTATGTTGTTGTTCTGACCCTTGAGTACTCAGTAGTCTTCACTCATTACATGAGTGCGTAAAGCGCACCCATCCTTCAGCACACACACACATGCACACACACACACACACACACACACACACACACACACACACACACACACACACACACACACACACACACACACACACACACACACACTCATGTCTCCTTGACTTCAGAGGACATTACATTGACTTACATGCATTTCTTGGAGACTTACTCTAACTTTATCCATAACTACTACTTGCCTAACCTTAACCTCATGTCTTCACCTGTATAAAAATGGGATTAACATGTGTTGTTAATAAATGTTGAGACCTCATAGTTTGCACATAAACATGTTATATGTATATCGTAAATACACTGGAAATTTGGGTTATAAATAGGGTTCATCCTCAGGGAACCATGATTGTCTTTACAAAACGTGGTTCCTCATGGTGAGTCAAAAGATCACAACCGTCAGCGGGACTGGCCTTCTGGAGACCATGAAACTTTGTTAAATCAGTCAGTCCATGCAATGGTTGGAGATAGATATTTCAGTCTAGACCAGACGTAGACTGCCTTCCCCAGAGCCTAGCCACTATCATGACTAAAGAAGACAGCACAGCAGGATGAACTAGTGATAATTAGTGAGGCACCTGTGATTACGCTCACGCCGAGCCGGACAACCACAGCCTCCACCCGGACCTTTTGCTCATCCATCTGGCATTTTAACAAGTGAAGTTCAAAGGTAACGGCTCATTGCTGGTACCTGAGCTGAAGAGACAGCAGCACCTGCTCATAGCTCATAACTGTTAGGTTTCAGCAGCCTTCCACCTGCCAAATTAAACTCAACCTTTAGCCTCACAAAAAAGAAAATGGTGTGAGGCTACCAGTTTGACACAAGTGGTGTCAAATGATTTCCACTGCAAACAGCTGCTGATGCAGTGAAAGGAGATGTCAGTGAAGAATTTCAAATTTCACATAGCTGGGCCTAACTTGTTGAAGTTAGATATGGAAATGGTTCTGCAGCTGTAGAATCACATTCTAAACCCATCCTCCTCTACAGGAGAACCACCTTTTACTCAAGTTTGTTTGATTTAATAAGAAAATGGTGGAGTAATGGAGGGGTAGTAGGGCCACCTGAGTATACAGAGCAACTCTCTCTTGTTCACTCACTGTGATATTAACATTTCTGTCGAGTGAAGGTTGATTAATTTTTCCATTCACTACAACCTCTAGGCTGTATAAATCCCACCTGTACTCTTTTTTTCTTCTGCTCAGAACTGACTTTTTCAAAATGAGTAATGATAAATCACAGCCACAAGTACATGGGAGGAGTCCCTCTCACCTATACTTTTACTTTGTAGGCCAAGTGAAGCTTCCTGTTCCAGGTCAGGGGTGGCAGCTAGGTCACAGGTGCGGGGTTGTGGCCAGCGGAACAAAGTAGGGTTGATAATTTGGGGAAGGAAGACGTAGAGGGGGAATAATACTTCTGGTGGTTGACAGGGGAGCTCTTAAAATCTTAGCTGTCTATAGCAGTTGGAAAAGGAATTTATCTTTTGATGGTGAAGCGTCATCCACATGGAGGTCAAAGGAATTCTGTGAGGGGAGGACTTGAAGCTGAAGACCAGAGATGAACTCTAGGCCAGAATACTAAACCCCAGTCCTGCATTTGGAGAGTTTGATGTACTATGTACTGTTTGGACTATGTGGAACAGAAATCACATTTCTGTATTTAACCAGGTCTTAGGAAAAACAGCAACACTTTAGACTTAAGTTGACTGTTATAATAATCAGCATCTGTTTAAGTCTCTCCGTTTGTGTGATCCAACCTGAAATAAATATGCAATAAAGAAAGAAGTGCAAACATTCTGTTGCTCCAACCTGCTGCACATTTTTGATTTAAGCATCACATCGGCACACTGTCTGAACATGTCACCAGTAAAGATAAAAAGAACATGCTGCACCACATCCTCTTTACTTGTTATATTTTACTCATAAAGTACCTGTAGAACTGAGTAAAACTGTGAACGCTTTCTGTAAGCAGATATTTTCTGACCTCATTCATAACTTTGCTCGGATTTAACTGTGTTGTTGCTGTACTGTGCAAATTTTGCATTGCATCATTGTAATGTTGTTGGTCTCTGGTGGTTGAAAAATGATTTATTGTAATTGGTAATTAAGTTAAACTACCAACCAACAATGTAAAACTTACACAGTGTTTCCTCTACATTCATTTAGTAGTGGCGGCCCGCCACTGCTAAATCATAGCCGCCACGCCTTCAAATTTCTTTTTTTTCTTTTTTTTTATTGTCGCAAATGCACCACCGCCACATCTCTCCACCTTCACAGCACAGCCTGTGTGATGATGAGCGCAACAGCGGGGGGAGGGGAGGAGAGGGGAGGGAGGGAGTGGGGTGGCTGGGGGATCCTATCGGAGTTAATTACTCGCGAGAGCGTGGCCTTGAAAGTGACATCACGTCAGGTACCAGGTCAGAGTCAGAGAAGTGTAGTCGTGAGGAATAAGGCAGCGAATTACCGGAGAAAAGGTAGACTTATTAGCCAACTCCGTGACGCTAACTTGGGTAAACTAATTGATAGCATTAAGCTAATATCTACACGTCATTATGTATTAACTGCTGACTGCATTTTCAGGTGAGCTTGTTCAGATACTTCTCTAAGAAGAGAAAGACAACAGATGAAGAAGACACTAGTCAGGTAGCCTATCATAAGCCTTTTACTGACTCGTAAATGATGATGGTTAGGTAAATAATAGTATTTTAATGTTCACACTTGTAATCAGATGTGATGTGAGTGTAAACTATATAACGCTGTTAGCGTTACGTTACTCACACTTTTAATGTAATCTTATTAGACAAGTAACATTAGACAGGGAGGAGTTGTTAAACAAAGTGGAGGAGAGCAGAGCACAGCAGCGGGAGAGCTGGGTGAAGGTGCAGGAGAGAGAGATGAGCCTGGGTGCAAACTTTGCCACTGACTCTAGTCTAATCTTTCTAGTTTTTAAAATCTTTAACTATTTATTTGTTTTGTACTTAATTTCAGAAACACTGAGATATTCAATTATGTCAATTTATGTAACAACATTTTTGAGCAGTATTGTGGATTTCCCTTTCAACCTCACGGGGTGGGAGGTGAGGGTGCTTCCTCAAGCTTGGGTCCTCAACCAGAAGCCTGGGAATTTGAGGGTTCTGTGCAGTATTTTAGTTGTTTTCGGACTGCAGTCCTCTGATCGGAGACCTCCGATGTTATACTTGGAATCAGCTGGAGCCACTCTCCCAGTTTGGGGGTCACAGCCCCTGATGCTCCTATTACCACTGGAACCACTTTAAACTTCACCTTCCACATCTGTGGAATTGTTGTATTATATTAATTGTTAGTATTATAAAGAGAAGGTCTAGACCTGTTCTATTTGGAAAGTGCCTTGATATAATTTATGTTGTGAATTGGCGCTATACAAATACAAATTGACTTGACTGTTCCAGTTGTTCCCTCAGACCATGGTACTACCTGATGTTCTTGTGCTCCTCCTTTGGGACAGGGACTAACTATTCGAATAAACATACAGCGGGGTCTAAAAGTCTGAGACCACTTTCCCTTTAACCTGAATGGGATACATACATAAATATGTGTAGCAGGGGAGTCACCAGTTAAATCTGAGGCCTGAAATATTGATTTATATCTCAGCAAAAAATGGAAATACTCAATAAGTATGAAGTTTGCTGTGTAATTTGTGTGTTTGTAATGCAGTCTGTAGTGTCCTATTGCATGCTGATAGTCTCCTCGCAGTTAGTTACCCTGCCTATTAATTTAGTATTTAGTTTCCATGTGTCTCAGCCTTGCGCAGGTCCAGCTGACAGGTTAGGGGGTAGCCTTTATTTAGCATCCATATTTGTACACTAAACTCTATTGTCTTATAACATTTGTTCCCTTGTCCTTTCAGGTACTCAGTTTGTCACACTCGGGTAGTAGAGGCCCATTCTGCCTAGTGGTTTTAGTTAACAATAGCTAATTAAAATGATATAGGCCTTCCTAGCCCACAGAGTGGGTGTCACACTCAGCTGGAACTAACTGATGATCATCTAATTATCCAGAGACAGGCAAGGAAAGCTGTAGAAATGACTGAGGTGAAGAACTATGAAATATCTTGTGTAATCCGTAGAACAATTGAAGCTGCTGGTGACTTCAGGGGCAGAGTATCAAATGACTGCAGTCAAGTCGGACAACAGTTTACTTCCCGTAGTGTGAGTTCACCTGTGTCACAGCAGCAGGTTGTTCACACAACTCACTGCAGAAAACTGAAGAGCTGTACTGTTTCTTAATTGAAAAATTATGAGCATTACCCTCAATATGTGACAAACACGACTGTTTTGCAAAATCTATTCACACTGTTTACTCAGTACGTAACACACGGTACATGCCTTAGAAACACTGTCGGAAGTAGTCAGAAACGACATCATGTACATGCAAGTGGTCAGGGATCTGATGCAAGACCTAGTCAGGGAAGTGAGCTCCTCTGTCACCAGCCTGAGCGCTGGACAAATACCAACCTACCTGGTCTCCCTGAGTCTGGTAGAGCAAACCCTCAGATCAGCCACAATCACCAGAGTACAGGCGTTACAGGCCCATCTGGCATATAGTCTTGGCAGCACAATACTCATTCACGTTAACCCAAAGAGTCTAGAGATAGGATTCCTCCTCAACCTCCCAGTGATAGAGTATATAGGCTGAAATCTGTACTGAACGTTGGATTTTGGCAAGACAACACCCATGTCCACCTCAAGACACCATCAACACTAGCATACCACATCGATGACCCCTCGCTCTACCTTATCCACAACCTTAATCTCTGCACCAAAACCAAAGACATCCACTGGGTTTGTCCCGGCAATCCATTCATGCGAGATGTGAGAACCGAGATGTGAGAACCTCTGCGGCTTGAGAACCGAATCCCCTGAACAAAGGTGCCAGGGCAGACTTTCGGTTAAAGACGAGGACATGGGAACCAAAGTGGAGCGAGTAGGGAGTCGATGGCTTGTTAGCACACTGGCTAACGAAGCCTTAATGACATATGACCGCCATGACACAGCCACTAAAGTGACCTTACTCAACCAGACAATGTGTCCCGCAGGAAGCCACTGTGCATTTTGGTGACATCGTCCTCCATCATCTCAATCCCGACAGACACAAGTCGGAGATCGAGATCATGGACGCCTTTAAAGGGCACAATTTGACCTTTGATTATATCCTCCAACAGCAACTGTTGGCTGAAGGTACCAAATTGGTAAAGTTCAGCATCAAGCCATCTTGACTCACCACCACCTATTCCATCACCAAGGCGACACCCTACCAAGAACACCCTACTAATTGGATCGTCCTAGGGCTCCTCCTTAGTGGTTGGGTCTTCACAGCAATTATAGCACACATTATGTACAAATATATTGGCAAACTGCAGGCTAAGCTAGATACTCTCTTGTTCGTGCCACAGCGCTTTGTGCAACAGCCTGCAGCTGTTCCTCTGACAAATGCCAGCCCCCTCCGGGCATAGGGCCATCAGTCCTACAAATTTTATCAGTGATGAATACTAGGCAGAGTGTGTATTTGACTGACGGTATTTGTTATTCTGTGATATTTATGTATAGCTAGTGTGTAGAAACCATCTGCCCAGATGATACCTCTCTGTGACCAATAACCTCCCTGTTATAACTGCCAAGACGCTGAACCTCTGCAGCTGTTGAACTGTACTGACTCTTTTCTCCCACAAGGATTAACAATCTTTGTCCCAAGGACATGGACTATGTGACCCACAGGTCACACCTCACAATTGATTAACGGCCATGAGGTTACTCTGAACATTGTCCTATACCCCAATCATCAGACCAAAGGGGGGAATGTTGGGCCTGAACATGTGGTCGACCTAGAGCAGGCCTGCTCTGGCCTACTTGTAACCTCGGAAGCCTGCCCTCAGAGCCTAATTCCTAGCCTCAGGCCTGATAAAAAAAAAGAGTGCCAAAAACCGCCCCTCACAGACTCCAACTCCCAGCAGGCCCTGCGGTTCACACCTAAGTGTGAGTCCCAATCTCATGCTTCTCATTGACAGAGATGCAGGGGACCCTGGCGACTTCGTCATGACATCACTGCATCTATAAAGGTCAACTGCACACACCGGCCAATGTTTTTCCATTGTAACTGCAGCAGAGATAGCCCGCTTTCTCGGTGAGCCAGTTTACTGAAGGAGGTAACCAACTCTGTGCACATGTGTTTTCCCCCGCGGAGTTTGAAGATTCTCCCCTCGCTGGATGAGTTGAGACTTCCCCCCCTTTTGTGTTTAACTAAACACAACTTACGGATCCAAAAAGAGATTTCTGCCGACGCAGATCAACGATCTCTCTTGCCTGCAGAAGGAAGAAGGAACTTCTTCATTGAGACGCGGAAAACCCGACGCTCGCTACCCTCCAATTACGTCGACACCGCTGGATTTCTTTGCTGCTCAACAAGGAACCAGGTGCCGCAACCCTCAAGAACGAGGACGGCACCGTCAGAATCACACCGGAGAACCTGTGTTGGATTTTACTGACGGACCTTCACACATCTAATCGCTTGGAAGCGATCCAAGTAAGAGGTTTACGTCTGGGTAGAGATTGTATTAATTGTGTGTTAACTTAGCTGCTGATGCTGGTTTTTTAATTTGCTGTGTTTTGAATTGTGCTATTCTTGTTATAACACGGACCGCCGAGTCCGTTGTATGATACAGTTAAGAATGGTGAAATTACTGCGTGCTGCTTGCTTGCCACCACGGGTGTGAAGTGAGTTGATCAAGCCTATAACCGATCAGACAACGGGCATACAGCTTCACAGCCGTACATGCGCTCTCTGTGGGTCGAATAACTATCGCTCGCATCCCATGGTAGCCCAACTCCACCGTGAGTTGTTTGTCCTCCTTGGTTACACCCACACGCACACTTACATATAGACATATCATTTATCCTATATATACATATATGTATTCAACGTCCCTCCACCGTCAGACACGTGTGGTGAGGACTTGAATTAGGTGAGCAGAGAAGCCCGACTCCCACTCAGCGCCCCATTTTAGGTTGTCTATCCAAGACATGATTCCGTCCGCTATTTTGGCTCACGTGGTCTAACACCCTCAGACCCGTCCACCATCTTGGATCCTGCGGGACGCGATCTTCACTGATATCATCCGCCGTCTCACCACACACACACACACACCTCATTTTTGATTGTATAGCTGTTATTCTTTACATGTGTAGTTAGTTGATGGATGGTAGCATAGTGTGATAAATCAAGACTGTGGTTAACTTTGTTAATTGTTGTGGAGATTTTAATAAACATTATTGTAGTTTAAAGAGAAACTCTTTTGGTCATTATTGTGTATGTTTACTGTGGTCCGTGACTGATTGAGAGGGTCTGAGCTCGAACTTAATCCTTCATTAGATACTCGCGGTCCCTGACCCCAGAGACCCATTACTCGGAGTGAATTATTAAGGTTATGAGACTATAAACTGGTTTGGTTATTGTTCCCGGATTCCGGGTGGCGCCCTGCATTATTAATTAATATTAATTACCATAATAATACTGGTTAATAATTTAAAGTTGTAAATCAATGATTTTTCAGTGATATTCAGAATTTTTTGTTAAGAACCAAACATGCTCCTACCAGACCCAACAATTAAATCTCAGTAATGTTTTATGAAAACATGGGGTGAGTTAAGGTGTGTGGAGGGAAAGGTCACACATGAAATACATGCTAGCAACTCTTATAGAGAGAAAACAATTTTATTTCTTTCTGTTTTATTGAGAACCATAGACTTGAGAATAAAAAACAAGGGTTACCATGTTGTCAGGAGGTGAAAAGAGAAGAAATGTAAAGAATAAAAAAATATGACCTATAAGAACATTATTTCTTTTACATTACAACTTCAACTCTTTCTGCATGATATACCTGTGGGTATGTCCTTATATAGAGAAATGAGACATGGCCCTTGTCAATCTAGAATGATTATGATTCACTAACATACCCATTGTAGAAAGATCAAAACTGACTGGTGCATGTGTCATGATCTGACAGTCATTTTTTGTGCATAAAGTAAGAACATGTCTACTCACATATCAGTGAATGAGGCCTGCTGTGATCCATATGATGATTAGACCAGTCAATGCTCATATGCATAATTGCTGAATGTGATTCTTGAAGTATTTTGTCTTTTAAGTTGGAGGACTTGTTCACTCTAAAGTCTGTTAACTCCTTTTTTTGAAATGAAGGTGTTGCCTGTACCAGTTTCTGCTACAGTTGTAACATCTATTATTTCCCCATGTGTTCCTCACTGTGGTGGACTGCATATTCTCATATTTCTGCACCACATGATGATTCTAAGAGATAAAATCGTATGTTCGAGGAGAGGCGAAAGACATTTCAGGTGGACTTGCCCTGTCAACACTTTAAGGATGTAGATGTTTCCCTCTGCTTTGACTGCAGCCAATTCAGCTGAAGAAAAAAGCTTTTTTATTTCCCAATGGGGGGTTTCTTCATATCGGAGGTCGTTTCTATTGCTTCACTGGAAACTTTGTACATTTGTTTAGCAAATTATTACCATCTCTCTGTCTGTTCATGCAGAGGTTCGTGGGGAACATGAATTCAGAGGCTGCTGTCCAGAACAAGCTGTCCCACTCAGTGAAAACCCGTTTCCTGCGCTTCGTCCCTCTGGACTGGAACCCGAGTGGCTGGCTCGGCCTGAGAGTGGAGGTGTATGGCTGCTTCTACAGTGAGTGACACACACTGCCATTCACATCACACTCAAAGAGTTCAGACTGTATATCGAATCAATAAATAGTGGAAGTGGTTCATGGTGGATTTTGAGATCTGGATCATTGTCCAGTCGTAGAAGTCGGTCTCTTTTCACCTTCACTTCCTTGACTGACTGCAGGACATTTACATTCAGAGTTTACAGATATTTAGTGGAATCCAGTCTTCCCTCTGTTTGTGCAGCGTCTCCTGTACCACTGGCTGCCAAAGCCGAGTATTTCTGCCTCCTTGCTTAACATTTTACGGGTTGTCCCAAACAAATTAGCATGTTGTGTAAGTGAAAATGAAACTCTCATCTGGTATTTCAGATGAAACATACGCACCAGTAACTTTGTTTTCACCTGATACCGAATTTTCATTGTGTTGTGAACAGCTGACTTACTCATTTGGCAAAACACACAGGGAGTCTCTCTATTGTCTGAAAGTTTTCCTTGAGAGTTTCTTTTCTTCAGGTCTTGTCCACAGTTTCCCTGAACCATTTCTTGATGACATATCAGAGAGCAGAAATGTCAAGCTGGAAGCTGGAAGAATAAACACTGCTCAAAAAAATACACAAACCATAGATCAAAGTAAAAAACAGGCTGATCCAACTTGCGTGAATTTCATTACGGCAACTCGTGACTCATTAGTGTAAATAGACATGCTCCTCAAGAGTCAGCAGATGGGGTCCTGGGGGATCTCCTCCTGCACCTGGATCAGGGCATTGGTGAGCTCCTGGACAGTCAGTGGCGGTACTTGGTGGCGTTGGATGCACCAATACATAACACGCCATAGGTGCTCAATTGGATTTAGGTCAGGGGAACGTGAGGGCCAGTCAATGGCATCAATGCCTTCATCATCCAGGAACAGCCTACACACTCATTGTACATTGTCCTGAACCAGGAGGAACCCAGGGCCCATTGCACCAGTGTAAGGTCTGACAATCACTCTGAGGATTTCATCCCGGTTCCAAACAACAGTCAGGGTACCGTTGGCTATGAGATGGAGCTCTGTGCGACCCTCCAAGGATATGCCTCCCCAGACCATCAATGACCCACCACCAAACTGGTCATGCTGGAGTGTTGCAGGCAGCATAATGTTCACCACGGTGTCTCCAGACTCTGTCACGCCCGTCACATTTGCTCAGTGTGAACTTGCTCTCATCTGTGAAGAGAACAGTGCGCCAATGGCGGACGTGCCAATTCTGGTGAATGCCAATTGAGCTACAGGGTGCTGGGCTGTGAGCACAGGTCTCACTAGAGGACTGTGTGTGTGAGAATGTGTATGTGTGTGAGCTGCAGCAGTTCAGTGAGGTAGCATCATATACAGGTGAGGTCGGCAGTGTGGCCCCTGGATTTGAGAGCCATTGGTTTATTGACTAATGTTAGCAACGCAAACTCTACAGTGATATCTGCTGCTGGTGCATTCTGGAAAAATCTTCATTAAGAGCCATCTGTTGTATATTCAGTTACTCCCTACCCTCTAGAGGTCACTGTAGGCCTCAGAATGTTGTTGCATGAGTTTTGTAGCGTTAACGCCATAATTTAGAATTTGCTCTCTTTGAAAGGGGCACCAGTCCTCTGGGAGAACAACAATGAATTGCTTTGTTGATAAATTTATCAATCTCATATCAGAAACCACGACTTCTCGATTCAATGGATCTCCAGTCTCTGCTTCAAAAGAACACAACAGGACAACAACTGGGTGTAAATAAAGGAGTTTATTAACTAAACTACTATCTACAGAGTAGAGACAGAGGGAGGGAGGTGTGTGTGTGTGTGTGTTTGTGTGTGTTCATGCAGGGCACAGAGAGGCCAGGATCAGTCCTTTTGGTGATACTTGTCCTATATAAGAAACAATCAAACATTACATTAGACAGAGGCTTATTGTTACAAACTGGAGAGTTTGCCTATGTTCTCCAGTTGCCTGGTGTCCATTCATTGATCCTCTGGAGCTGACCCTTTTGACCTGTGGTTTGATTCTGTGTTCCTCTGGCATGCTAAAATCATGGTCTGTTTGTGAGAGAAGGGTCCTTTGTCTCTGTTTCCTATCAATTTGATAGTTTGATGGTGGGAAGAGTAACAAAGTGTCAGTTGTGGGTCCATAACTCTGCATGTCCTTACATGTCCTTCTTTAATGGCTTGTGACTGATGCCAGGCCAGATATGTATGCTATAGTGTGGAAATAAAAAGTAGAAAAGAAGAAGTAACAAAGAAAACTAGTCTTAAGTTCATGCACAAGCCTTGTTATATTTTTATTAAGTACTTGGGATACAACAAATTGGTGATGAGGATGGCAAATGTGTACCTCTCTCTGCACTGTTCCTGTCCTGCGCCAGTCAAACTGCGATTCCGGTTGATATGTGGATGAAGATGTTTGGCAATTACCTGCCATTCAAGCGGAGGGGGACGACTGACCTGACACGAGGAAACGTGCAAATTTCCTACACTGCCTGGGCACCAAAGGTCAGCGTATATTCTACATGCTCACAGAGGCAGGTACAACTTATTATTCAGCAGTTAAGGCACTGCGTGTACATTTCAGTCCAGCAATAAATGCTGTAGTGGAACAACCCAAGTTCAGGGAGGAGTGCAGGGACTGCATGAGACTGTAACAGAGTACAGGGTTGTGCGAGCTGGCTACAACATGTGGGTTTGCTGAAAATACGGAGAAATTATATGTGATCAACTAATTGAGCATGCTAGCTGCTCAAAACTACGAGAAAGGCTATTAGTGCAAACAGATGCAAATCTCACTCTGGATACAGTAGTAAAGTTAGCATGCCAGGTGGAAGCAACAATTGGGCATGCGCAGACTTTTGTCTCGGAGCCTCAGGCTCCGGTGCACGTGGTGAAAATGAAGCCTAAACATCGTTCAAAACCAGAACAACAAGCTATTCCGCTGATCAGGCATTGGCACCTAAACAGGATCGAAGTTGTTTTAGATGTGTGTCAGCAGCTTACCTTGCAGATGCTCCAGATTGCCCTGCATGGAAAGTGATTTGCTGAAACTTCAATAGGATGGGACACTGTCTGTGTATGCAAGTCAAAGAAAAACACGGCAAAAGGAGGAGAAGCGGTTGTCTTTGAAATGAATACAATGCACATGATACAAGATATACAACCAGATGACAAGATTTCATGTACAGTGACCATAAATGCAGAATTAGCTTCCCATCCAGTTCAGTTAGTGGTGGATATGGGTTCTGCTGTCTCCCCCATTCCTGAACACCTCTACAGAGAACACTTGCTCCATTGACTGAGCCATTAAAAAAGTTTGGTGACATATACCAAATGTGATTATCCACTGCTAGGTTGCCTGTCAGCAACAGCACAAAAACATTATAGTGACAGCTACACTATATGTTGTGAAGACTGGCACAGCTTTGCTGGGAATGGACTTATTCGTGGCACTAAGACTTTGTATGGACAACAACACTGTACTTCACCTGTGGCTCCAGTGGCAGAGATCCGAGAGATCAGAGCCAGACCTGTGGCTGGGGAGAAACTGGGCCTTGCTAAAGTGTGTGTTCACCGTGTAAAATCAAAGAAGGTGTTCAGCCTGTTCAGCAGAAGTTGCAAAGGCTTCCACCCTCCATTAAACAAGCCGTCTCTGCTGAGTTGGACGGACTACTTAAAATGGATGTGATAGAGAGGATTGATGCTTCTCCGTGGGCGAAAGAACGGTGCAGTGAGGATGTGTGTGGATTTAAGTGAGCCAAACAACCCTATAGGCTATATAGCCTTTTCTTGAAGAACCTCAAGGGAGTCCAGAACTTTCTGGATGACTTCATAGTTTATGGCAAGGACAAGGAGGACTATGACTGCAATCTGCAGGCGGTGCTAGCTGCCCTAAACAAAGCCTGCCTCCATCTCAACAATGAAAAGTGCCACTTCAATCAAAGCAGCCCACGGTTCCTTTGGCACACTATCTCAGCCAATGGTTTGCTGCCAGATAAGGATCACCTCAGAGCTGCTATTACAGAAGCTTCAGTGCCTAGTGACGCCACCATGCTATGCTCATTCCAGGGGCTCATGGCGTGGTATGCAAAGTTTTTACAAAACTATGTCTCTCTGGTGGAGCCCATGAGAAAATATCTGAGCAATTGCACATTTGTGTGGATTATAGCTGCACAGTCAAGCTTTGACACAGTCAAGTCCTGCATTGTGAATAGCCCTGGGGCTATTTGGGGCCATATTGACGCAAATGCACCCTGATAAAACTGAGCGCACAGTTGCTTTTGCTTCACACTCACTTATTCTTGCTGAATGGAAGTATTCCATTGTGGTAGAAGAGGCATTAGCCTGTGTGTGGGCAGTAGAAAAGTGGAGGACTTTCCCATGGGGGACCACATTAACACTGCATCCAGACCACCTGGCCCTGACCACACTATTAGCCACATAAGACCTTGGATGTGCAGGAATGGGTGTTGCACGTTGGTTAACCAGATTCCTGTGTTTCATATATGATCTGGTGTATCGTGCTGGTGTGCAAAATTATGCAGCTGACTCTCTCTCCCATCAGATGAGACTGCAAAGCCAGTGATATAACCTATACTTGTAGATCTGTTGGACACAGACCTGAAAGCTCTCTCAGTCAAGGATTTCACTGTGGCATTTGAGAAGTGCCCAGAGCTTATTGCCCTCAGAGCACAGATTAAAAAGGGTTGGCCCAAAACAGCAAAGTACCTACTGGCAGCACTCAAACCCTACTTTGGTAGTCCCTGTGACCTTAAGGAAGCAGCTTTTGGACCTGGCACATGAAACCCATGAAGGGGTTGTCCATACAAAGCAGAGGCTGTGAGAGTTATACTGGTGGCCTGGCATGGATATGTGTGCAGGAAAGCATTAGTGCATGTGCGACCTGCCAGATGAAGAAGTACCAAGACCCATGTTGCCCCCCTCCAGCCTGTACCACTGCCAGATGGCCCGTGGCAAAGTGGGAATTGACATTGTTGGACCAAGTGGCCGGAACTTGCCT